TTGGTACCTAGCTTACAATGAGGTAAAAAGGATAATTGAACATGGATCGTGGTATAAACATCAGTGACGAAGGTCCAAAATTTATACGATTACTCGCACGAGCTGTGAACTACGATATTTTCCATCACCGGTCAGTCAATGTTAGATAATTCGGTCATAGCAAGCTTATTTTCTCCGTATCCGTTATGCCTCCTATTCTTTCGACCTTATACAGTAAACTCATCCTCGTCATCTACGAGTGCGTATTAAAGATTTAAGTGGTGTGCAATGCGTTTACATTCCAGTAGAACGACTCTCGTACACGGATAATTTTGCTAGCCCTTATATTGTGTCCGGTCCCACGAAACGTTTCGTCGACAATTTCTCAGTAAGTATTGCTATTTAATATCCATACATCATGTTTTTTGTCAAATAAAATTTGTATTTACTAAAAACGAGCTACTAACCTCTTATAGTTTTTTTTTCTTTTCAATTTGCATTCATGGGAATTTTATTAACACACAAAGCAGTTTTCTGGTGACTTTTCCGAACTTTTAACACCACACAAAGATTACATCTTTTCAATAACACGAAAATATGCTGATGTGACATGCGTTCAAAAGAATTCTTTTTTATATTATACAATCAGCTATTAAAACTTAAATAGGTACCCTATACATGTGCAACATTATCAAATTATTATATAAATGTGTGTATTTTTTAGTGACTTTTTGGCACATAAGAATTTAATCAATTTTGACAACACACATTTTATATTACCTACGCAAGTATTTACTCATAAGTTGTTACTCTATCACATTAATAATAATTGTTGGGTTTCTTTAATGTATTCTCTAATATGTATTCACCCACTCAGCCACTTGAGTCCAATTGCTGTTTACACTTATAAATTATAAACTAGATCTCAGTAGGTTATAATTGATTATTACCTAAACGTTTAAGTACTAATTCCATATAAAATATATTATATTTAATTAATATATTTTGGACACGGGTGACATTATCAATCAATAATTACATAATATATTCATTGAACTAATTTAATGATGTACTTGTAGCTATTATATGTATACGCATACGTTCATTTGATAATATTCAAATTCAAATTTTTTCAAATAATTTAATTATTAAGTTATTTATACAATTATTACTAGATATTAGACAACTGACATGAGACATCAGTGATAAAAAATGATTTTTATAAAATTTACTTATCATTTTTAAATATAATGTACAGATTATAGACTATTATTTTTTCAGTGTACATCGTACGTGTAATTTTATTTTAGAATACTAATGTTRATATGACTGTTGGTCGTAATGATTTAATAGTAAAATTGATTAATTAAATTTTACACTTTCACAGTATGACTGAAATATAATATATACATATAAATATTGATTTACCATTAACCGAACTGTGGGCATGTTTCGTTTCAGGCCAACGAAAAACCTTCGRAATGTCTAATGGGAAAGTTTGATAGTTTATGCACGATCCTCTTTTGATTTGCATCTTACTATTAGGGCGGCTACCTACGATTACATCTTTTTTTTTTAGATAGTGTCATTTTTAATGGTTTGGGTCATTACAAACGGAATGTGAAACAACAATACATAATATCATATATTGTTTGATAAATGGTTTTCAATGATATTTAATAATTACGTTTATATTTTATCTATAAATATATGTTTGAACAGAACACAATTATTAAACCGTGAAATGTTACGAAAATAGCACTGAATAAAAATGATTCATTCTCTCTTAATTCCAAATTTAATGGTAACGAGTTTTTTAATCGACAAATAAAAATAATATACACAGCATACCACAATAGTCGGAATTTAATTAGTTAAGCTGGTATTTTAAATAAATTTCATTTAATCCCTTTCCTAAAAACTAGTATGTTAAATGCGAAAAAATTAATTTTCATAGAATATCAGTAAATATTACTATACCAAAAATAACGAATAATATAATATAGCATTTGCGCATCATAAATCACATTTCGTTCATTTTATTGAATTTTAACATCAATTAATAAAATTTTTTCAACATAAGTATAGCACTTACATCATGCTTATATATTTTTCTCAATTTGATTTTGAAAAAAATAATTCTTCATAAAATTGATTTATTGACAATTATACCGGGATTATTACGTTAGTAAGCATTCTATAATTAATTGTTCAATAATTTAATAATCACTTAAAATTTTTGAAATAAGAGGAAATATGTATCAGCCATTAATATATATAATATAGGTATCTATGTACCAAGGCATTTTTAAATATTTATTTATTTGTTTCTTAATAAGTAGTAAATAAAAATACTATTATTTTAAATATTCTTATAATAGAGTTTCATTTTTCCAATTTAAAATAAACTTCTTTTACATCTCGACATGTATTACTACTATATATATTATATATTTTTGTAAATAGGTTAGTGGCCTTTTAAAAGCAGTTTTACATAAAAATTCAATAAGTATCAACACATATATTTTATACAATTATTAAATAATGAAAGTCAATACTGACAAAAAAAAAAAACAAAGTGATAGAAGATATTATATAGAATATATATGTTATAACTTAGCAATTAGCATTCACTCAATTATTATATAGACCATATTTTTCAACAAATAGAAGGTTCATTAATTTTATAGATTATTTTTTTATGTAAATATTGATAACAAAATATGATTTTTGTTTTTTACCAATGATTTTTGATTTATCCACGATCGCACAGTGAAGGTATAGGTAGGTATCTGGTATATATATACATACATAATACATCGGCTCTGGTGACAACCCGTAAGTAGTATACATTAATAAAATTATATTGATTAATTTAAAATATTAATTTTCATTATAACTTATAAGTACCCGTGATATATTATAATATTTGTGTCTACATAACAAGCGAATTTTCTTACATACATCTATACGAACCTAACCTAACCATATAATCTGCTGGAAGTATTGGTTATACGCATATATTACCAATTACTTACATTATGCATTTGTGTATAAATCATAATTCAATCATTTTTTTTTTTTAAACTTAAACAAATTTTTGTTTACTTAGATAAGTTATTACTACTACTACGAGGATACGAATATTATTATTATTTATTTCTAATAAAATTAGTTAAAATATTTTTACAAAATATTATATTTTTACAAAAATATTACGCATTGCACTACAACTTGATTAAAAACATCGAATGGTAAATGATACCTTCRTGTGTACAAGGCGTACAACTATACAAGTATTTGGTTAAATTATTGAAATAATCTAAAAATGATATATGTGGTTTAATATTACACTCAACAATAAAAAATAAATCTTTATTATATATGGAATTTTAACGTACTGAAAATATGCACACTCATAAATTTATACGGTGTAGTCTGTGGTATCTGGGACCCTGGGGGTATCACATAAAACGTTCGTAGTTTGTATTATAGTAATAAAGTAGACAGTGGCGATGTTTTAATGTGATTTATAATATTTATAATAAATATTAAAATATACTACTCATTTTAAACAATTAAAATTTTTCAGATGGGTATTGTTTTATTTTTTTTTTCGTTACACTACATGAGCTCGAATTTCAATTACAAGGAAAACCATTTGCCGAGTACTAATTAGTTAAACATTTACTATTATTAAAAAAAAAATAGTAAAAATACGCTTCAATAGATAACTCAGAATATTATGATTATAATGCATTGGGTATCGCCAAGTGCGTGTTGAATGTTTTCATTAGGTACCAGCAGTGATTATCCAATTATCATTGTAACTTTTCTGATAACAACGGCAAGGATAACGATGATAACGATTTTAAATGTACGTTTAACAAACATGTTTAAAATGGTTAATAGTTTAAATTTAACGATAATTAGAGGTACACCTATCTYGCAATTTATAGAAACAATAACCAAAAAGTACGCGGAATAATAAAATTAAGCGATTTTTTTTTTTACACACGTCATTATTTTTAATTGAACAAACAAGAGGAAAACCCTCTTTTACCATGATAATATAGACTTGAATATTGCTAAACATTAAATTTTTAAAATCTGCAGATTTCCGAAGGTTAAAATTTTTCTGTCGATACAAAAAAAAATGCGTACTCAACATCACACGCTTCATAATTAATGAATCGTTATTGTGATTAAAAAAAAATAAAATAAAATAGGTATATCGTCACATCATTACATCAATAATCGGTGACTGTCCAGAAAAATCGAACGTTTCTCTCGCCAACTATTTATATACGACGTCGAAACATTTCTTTCGGGTCGACTTTTTTACCCAGGCCACAWAGGCTGAAATTAGATACCTAGCTACTATTAGTCTATAATTTATTGAGGATGTGGAGGTAAGTATACTTAAAATTTAATAAAAATAAACATCCCAACTCCGGTCAGACTACCGATATTAAAATTCATTATAAACATGTTCAAAATTAATTAGTTTTTTTTTATAGATATTCAAAAAACGAAATTTTAAGAAATTTTTACTTAAATTCTTAAGTATTAAAACTTGATTCCATTTTTCAAGTAATACATTTTTAAAACATGATTCACAGTTCTTTATAAATAATAATTTTTACAGAAATTTTAAATTAACGAAAACACATGAGGACARTTTTAATTGATACATTTTTTCGAAATTGTCTACTTTGCTTAGGATTTTATTTTTATATAATAATAATAATCATTGGTAATACATCGAATTCAAACTGCCTAAGGAATTTTTTTTCAATCAAAATATTTACCGATGTTACTAAGTACCAAATATTCTATAATAGGTACMTGCAGTACTTCTTCACGGGCATTTTAGATAATTTTTATAACGAAAAATGATACATATCATAATGTTATTAGTTTTTAGGGAGGACCGCAAATCCACCAACGCCAAAACTCCGGTCTAATCATTTCTGAACACGTCCACAGGGATAATCCATCAGATGTTAACTAAGGCTTACCGTTTTTTCCGTGACGTGCACGCTAAACACGTCCGCACCGCGTCCAACATGATGTCGCGGCAGAGGTCCGCGGCCGAGTGTGGCGCGAGTGGCGTCTGCGGCGGGCCGGCGGTCGTCAACCGGTCTCACCTACACGCGAGCATATACGYGACCCGCACGAGAGGTTTCGGGTTTTTTTTTTCTCTCGCGAACTGTTCACTTTTTCATTGGCACGACGACGAAGACGACAACGACGACGACGACGGACGGACGGACGAGTCTCCGCGAAAATAATCGGAAAACCGCTGCGAGACCGCTGCCAGCGATTATAATAACACGCGCTCGCCAACACGCACACACGCGACGACGACGGCTGCGGTAGTAACTGCAGCTAGTGGTAGTAATGGTAGTAGTGGTAGTAGTAGTATAGTAGTTCCGTAGGTATATTATGGTAGTAATAGAGTAGTGTATTACGTTGAGTCAAGTACAAGGTTATAATACGGCGGCGCTGCACGCCTGGCAACCGGATTGCGCAACGTCACTTTTATTTTTCATCACTATTATATTATTATTAATATTCACTAAAACAACAATATACCTAAGTATATCCACCTAACTGTTAGGTCCTAACAATATTATTATTATTTTATTAAGCTACGGTTCGATGTTTTCTCGATTTAATAATATTGCAAATTCAAAAACGTACAAAAATAATATTATCTGAGACGACTCTGGCGCGTAGGTTAGCTGTCAGAAAACGCGATCGGAAAAACGAAAATCCAAAAGGGACCTGAAAGACAGCGGTGGAATCGTCGCGATGACGGTCAACAATAGTGTGTGCGCACAGAGCGTTACCAAATACGGCTCGATAGACCTGTTACCACGATTATTCTTATTATCGTGATTAATAATATTATATTATTATTATACTGCGATTTATCTTCGTTGTGAACGATCTCGTTAGCCGTATAAAGTACAATAATATGTGTTACAGTGATAACGTTTTARTATTATACTATCATCACTATATTATTGTGTTGCCGTGTGTTGTGTATAAAACAATAATCTTATCTCCGGCCCGGGTCTTCGATTGGCGGGCGTGCGACCGAGTGAGACGGAGCTGTTATATATTTTTACTATGGACTTATCGTATGCCGACAGATGGTGAGGAGTGCAAGTCGTCGACGAAAAATATAAGAACACAGAGTGAGAGAGTGAGACGGAAACACTCGCGCACTCTCATWTAGACCGCGGGCGCGTCGCCGGCTATAATAATGTATAGAACATACACGCCTATATATCATACAGTTTGCGGCTTAGATAGAGACATTTRTGAATTATATTCTCTACCAATAAAATTCCACGAGAATTGTGCGATAAGTGAAAATATTGGAACTCATTAGTCGCCTCAGAGTAGTTATACGCGTCATTATAAGATACAATTATTATATTTCAATATTTGAAAGACACAACACAAACTACTAGCCGCACAGCAGCCGCCACGCCAACTCACTGGTTTGAAGGTAAAATATTATCCTTTCCACGGAACGGTACTCATCGTCGTTGTTATAAGTATATAAATTATACTGTTATTATAATAGGTGTACGCATCGACAGTAAGGTTATTAGCGCGTTACAAATGATTGACTTTATCATATAATACGCATACTCGTATAGTAATAATTTAAATACGATAAAAATACAAAAAATTATATAACCGATACAAATATAAATATTATATATTGGTAAACATTATCAAGTGGGTGGACGGAAGAGTATGCGTCCTCGTTAATTTAAGTCTCCAAAAATTTGTAAAATGAAATTCAATATAAATTAGTTTTTATTTATATTTTTAATGAAATATATAAAACTAAAACAATTTAAACATTTTTTTAAAAGGAAATGTGTTTTTATATTCTATTATCATAAACTTTTTATGTAGAAATAGGTGTGCGTGGTTTAGACATTGGCTTCTTAAAACAGTTTGGTTAGACAAAGAATTTGTAAAAACTAAGAAACGCTCCTAAATTGTTGGTGACTATAGTCCTCCTTCTGCATTTTTCCCACCTTAACTACTGATATTATTGTAAAACAAAATTATAATTCCGATAAACAAAGGAATATCATGAGTCGATCTGTGATTTGCGGGCTGGAGCTAGAATTTCAYAACGCCGTCGTTATTTTGTATAGTAACACGCTTGCAAACAGCGTTGTGGACTTGTGGTTTTATTTTGCTATTAAATTTCAAAAAATAAATCATTATGTTATTAATTAATAAACATGATAAATGCATCGTACGAAACCACGTTCCCTTTAGACCATGGTATTACAATTTTAAAACCGGAAATTTGTGAGGATTTTGAAATTTAATTAAAACAGTGTAATATGTATTATCGTTATAATATAGGTAACGGCGAGATAAGAATATAATATGTACATAGGTAGTAGGTAGCTCGTCAGAAAATTATTATTATTAATAAAATAGGATTGAACTTATATTATTCTTGTTTTTTATTTTATATTAGATTTATTGCTAAAGATAACCTATAAATTAATTTTACAACCCAACTAGTAATGTGCAATGGATAGATAAATATTTTAGATATTTATCGAGTATTTACTATTTACCCTTCTAGAATTTTATTACCTACTCGAAATTTTAATAAATATATATGTATACATGTACACATATATTTAATTTGTTACACTAATCAACTATATATTTTTAGTTTTTTAGCCTGAAAAACCAAATCTTATATTTTGTACTTACATAGTTTTGTGAATCGAAAGTACCTTTAGTATACCTACTAATTCGATTCAAATCTTCATTTATATGAGTTTAATTTATTAATATGTTTTATCATTCATCTACCTACTTGATTACTTACTTTTATACTTTCAGTTCAAAATATTACAATCTTTATTTTAATCTTTTTTAGATTTTTGTGAATTGTTTATAGAAATTCAATATTTCAGCATAATACTCATAATAGTATACTATTACTTATCATTACATTAACTAAAATAGTAACATGTGACTTAATATAAATTTTATTTAATGAAATTATATATTTTTGTTATTATTTRTTATTAARCATTGTATTTACAATATATACAATATAATTATTATAATAAGTAAATTATATACAAGAATTAATAACAGGAAGTAGCGTTTATGGGCAGGTACCCAGCAGTGCCACCTGCCCAGGTATTTTTTTAGGTATTATCTATTGTTTAAATTTTTTTTTTTTTGAGTAGGTCTCTTGGCCACCGTCTTTTGAGTCTTCTGCGCAAATTTCCGGGAAGTGAAATGGAGAATAGTTGTTGTTTGATCAATGGATTATTGTGATAGTTTAATTTTGAATGAAATTTAAAGTAATATAATTTTGCTAGTTGGTTAAAGGTAGGAATTTTTAAGTCTTTGTGCAGATTATTATTTGTGAAATACGAGGGATAATACGTTATTAGTCGTAAGCAGACGAACTGAAACGCTTGAAGCGTTTTAGTATTTGATGGCTTTGCAGAACCCCATAACTGAATACCGTATATCTAAACTGATCGAATTATTGACTTGTATATATTTAGTTTATTGGATAGAGACTATTTAGATTTCAATAGTGGTATTATGAGTTTAATTTAACAGTTTTACGCTGATGATTTATATGTGGACACCAGGTTAGAATTTATCTAAGGTTAGCCCAAGACGTTTAACTTCGTTTTCCGTTGAATTCTTTGATTATTTAACGTAACAGGTGGTAAATCGAGATTTCTAAGTGAAAAAGTTACTTGAACAAATTTAGATTCGTTTATTTTGATTTTTAAATTATAATTAAAACTAATTATAACTAGATAATGAAATTCAAATACTTTTATAGCTTATTTACTATTTTTACTTTTTTAAATGCATATTTTATTATTAATTTAGTTAAACATTTAGTAAATTAAAGATAAAAACTTCAAGTTGAGATTTTATCGAACTCAAGATTAACTACATTATAACTTCCAAGCTAGTATTGATTGTATAGTGCTACATATCCATAAAGTAAATTCGTTATGTATACGTATTTTAAAGTAAATAATCATATCAATATTTTAAACACCTAATTTAAAATTTAAATAATTAACTGTAATTTACTATGTAAAAATTTACAAATTATAAAATAAAAAGGAACTAAATGCACGTAGTACCTATTGCTTTTTAAGTGCACCACAGCAAGTCTGCATTCTGCATGCATATTTAGTAGTACTGAAGTAGTTTAGAGTATTTAAGTAAGATCGCCGATAGGTATAAACTATGATTAGTATCCCATAGTATTAACAGCTAAATATAAATTATTTTTTACATTTATTAGTGACAGTATTTAAAATCGTTGTTTTTGGTAACTTAAAAATATATAGCGAATCGGTCTGTACCACCTATTATATAAACGAATTAAAAAAAAAAAAAAATTGCAATAGGTATGATTGTGGTAGGTATTTTATATATTTTATTTTTATCAGTCATGACTCATGACTCATGAGTAACTCATATTGAAGTATAGGCACAACGTTTGGATTTTATTATTTACCACAGAAAATAGAATTTTATACCTACCTAAAGTTTTACTGTGGAATGGTAAATTGGGTTGTTTCACCCGTAGTGGTAAATATTAATCAATAGTATTTGCATCCAAACAAAAAAACGAATAAAATGTTCATGCCACTGGTACTTACATAAAATGTATAAATTATATGATTATTTAGGTTAACGTTTAACTCGTTTAAATTCAACTATTTTTTCATGTCTATATTATTTYACGTTATCTTAGTAGTAAATCACCCGTGGTTTTTCTCCATGTTTTTATTTACCATTTTACCATCAATGCTTTAACCGCTACATAAATTTAGGTATACTTAGAGACCTTTCTTACCTAMTCTAATCTATTCGAGTGTTTACCCAAAAAAATCTAATCTTACTTTCATATCGTGTCCATATTAAAAATCAATGTATCGTACAATCGACTGTTATACTTGATGTATTTTAATAAACTATCGATTTTGATATAGATTTTTTATGTTAAGTACGTAATGCGTATTAAAAATATTATTTTTGTCTTCGTATATTATATTGATCACTAGTTATGATAGAAGATTAAATAAAAAC